TAATGTTTGTTGTAGGCGTAGCGTTATAGTGAGTTTTAGGTTTGATTGCTGCTTCGGGTGCATTGTTATTGGTTTCATCTACTAGGATATTTAGGTTCGTTCATTATATGATTTACTATTGTTTTACAATGTTTGTATGTGTAAACGTTCTTATCTCTGACGCTACTAGTGTGCGTGCTAGAAAAAAAAATATTTGTATTTTTTTTTTATAATATTTCGGACATCTGACACACAACGCCATTTAGTTGCGAATTAAGCAAAGCTGTACTAAGAGAGCTGGATTGAGTGATAGAATACTTGTATACTTTTTTCGTAAATTTATACGTAATATAGAAAACACCCAAACTACGAAACAAATATTTGCAGATCATACAAAAATTTGGTCCGACCCGAGACCTTAGCACAGCAGTCGCATCGCTGCCACCACCGAGGCAGTATTGAAATGAACCTTCATTAAGGAAGGTTAAAGGCTGTGTATCATCACGCTATAACGAAGGAATGGAGCAGTGACTACAAACGTAAATAAAACCTCAGAAAACTCTATAAAATAAACTAACCATTGCAATTACCTTTGCATGCTTGGTTATATCGTGTTTCTAACTTTGAAAATGACGACTTGAAGACCGGTTCTACCTCATTTTACTCCTTAGAGGTGAAATTACCAAGAATCCTGTATTGGTGAGTGGTTACAACATAAAAAGTATCAGCTGCTAAAATTTTAACTTGGTAGGTCCAAAGGTTAAGGTTCTGCGTTGATAAATGTCAGCAAATGAAGGCAAGTAGTTTTTAACCCCCGACGCAAAAACGACAGGGTGTTATAAGTTTGACGTGTCTGTATGTCTGTGGTATCTTAGCTTCCAAACGGATAAACCGATTTTTATTTTATTTTTGTTTGAAAGGTGAATTAGTCGGAGTCTTCTTAGCTATGTTTGATGAAAATCGGTCACAATATCCGCTGTCACAAAATGGCGGCTTACATATTTTTTCACAACTCCCTCAATATGGGTATCAAATGAAAGAGCTTGACTAGTAGAATACAATACATTATGACAAATTTCAAATCCAATATGTGTATCGGAAGTTTTTTTTAATTTTTAATTTAATCTTATATGTACACAGTGGTAAGTAAGTTATAAAGATCCAATATCACATAAGTTAAAACAGGTAAAAATTCACATTTTATTAAAGGTTTTATTTATACATATTTAATTATTTACCTAATGTTATTGTATTGTTTAAAAAACACGGATAAAGCGTTATTTTCGCATATTAAAATGGCTGTCACTACAATATGGGGAATACTTTAAACTGATAAATACTGAATAAGTATCGAAGTCTATTGTGATATATAAATAGACAGGAACCAAACACTTCAGTATCTTTTCCTCATCTGCTTTTGTTTTTTATGGTATAAAAATTGGTGGTGGGGATGTGTCACCTGATGGTAAACGTCTACCGCTGCCAATGGACACCTGCAAGTCAACGGTCACAAGTGCGTTGTTGCCCTTTTTAAGCCTCCTAACTCCTGCTGTCCTATTTCTTCTAATATATTAATTTAATTACCTAATATTCAAATATGTTTTTAAGAGAGCTTTCAAAACGTTTTCCAACGCCTTCTTACAATGTTGCTCACAACATACAAACGGAAAGTTTCAACATTCAAAATGTCTTTCAAACCAAATCGGAGTTTTTGAAACAAAAGTTTTCTTCGTTTTTGTTTTGTTTTTCGTCCTATTGTTATGCAAAGTTGAAAATTAAGATGGAGGTTGATTGGATTTTTAAGGCCTACGTATATCGTATTCTTCGAAATAATACGCACTGAATATAAATAATAGTAACCTCACACGTCTCATGCACGGCCGTGTGGTCCCAAACTAGACAGAGTGTGTACTATGGTAACCAGAGTGCTGACAAACATACTTATATATTTCTAAATAGGTACATACCACTGCTGGGCATAGGCCTCTCCGTAGAAATAAGGTTATATTATTATACATTATCGATAAACTACACCCAGGCATAGAACAAATGCTATTGCTGCACACAATCACCAAAATGTATGACCTTTTTGGTGGTGTGGCAGACATTTTGTTTTCCAAATAGTAGATATAAATGTTCTTTTTTCAAATTTATTGATTGGTTAGCTTCTACCGTGGATAGACGTCTAATTAAGATTCATGAAAATTACAGATAGAGATATAAAGTAACTATTATTATTATAAAATGCAACCATCAATTATAGGTCAGTAACTTGTGACAATTAGACGCAACAAAAACATTAATACCAATGTATTTTTCGTTCAAAATAACAAGTTACAATTTTGTATTAGTTAATTATTCTTGCATAGGGTGGTTTACAAGGTTATGTCTGTAATTATAGGTACTCTACGGGGTTTTATTGGAAGTACTGAAAGTTCAAGCTAGTTTTGTAGGCATTTTTAAAGAACTTTAAGCTTTATAGTTATGTGCATTAAGAGTGGATATTGAATACTATACGTTCTTCTTTTTATGTGAAATCTAAAATGTGAACGCAATTGTGTTTAAGGGCTTTGCCCGTAGATTATAGCTTATGACACTTCTGAATAAATAATCTTATAATAGTTCATTGCATGCAAATGTTATTTAATAATTAACAGTTAACTTATCGTAATAACAATTAACCTAGTGAAATTTATAAATAAGTAAACATTATATTATATTAATGTATATATTAATGTATACATTGTATATATTATATTAGGATGCATTCATTTAAAATTAATTGAATTTCATTTAAAATATTCTTTTGTCTATTTTGAGCGAAGTCGAAATTAATAACATTTAAATATTAGAAAATTCAAACAACAAAATATTTTGTCCGTTGCTGCTCTTTGAACGAGGATTAAAAAATGCAAGCGATAATTTTGAAAAAGAAACGAATAGTTACGTCAACCTACGCGCTAAGTACTATTTAAAACGTGTAATATTGACTTCTCACCAATGCCACATAATACTGCAAACAATAGTAACGTTCCTTCAACACAATTAGCGTGAACTCATTGCCATAATAATAAAAAAACGTATGTAAAAACGCATGATCGAATGATAGTGAAGAGGAGAATGAAAGAATGACGCCCATTGGCCGCCCGCAACGTGGAAAAACACGTAATTTTTTTTATTTCTAAGCCACGTAGAACGTACTTGATATGCGAGACCGCCCTCCCATTGGCCGCAGCGGCCGACCGAGGCTAGCCATTGGAGAATTTTTTTTCCCGCTTTTCACGTATACGGTAAGACTATTTTTTTCTTAGAAAACACCGGCCAATAGTGGGGGATCTATTTTAATTATAACGTTGGACTTTTTTCGTGGCGCGGTAGTTGAAGTTTTAAATTTGGAATGTTGATTTTTAAATGCGTGTTCTTTATTTGATTCATTGAACGGGTAGCTGCTGTCGAAGATAGACGTTCTAATGTAAGAGTGTTAATTTACTTTCTATACATTTTTAGTTGGATGCGATGTTTCGAGTAGGTACTTATTTAGTATTAGTAGGTGACTGGGCTAGTTTTAGATCCGCCATTACCATTACTTAGTGTAATCTAAACATGCAAGACTTTCTAATGGCGTAAATTATTTATTTATATAATTTGTTTTAATTAAATGTATCGTTTTGTTAAAAATTGAGTTTTAATAACGTGCTTGAAGGTAGAATGAAAACACATTATGTAAATTAAACTCAAAGGTCTATTTTGGTACTTTTTACCTAAGTTACACCAAGTTTATGGTTAATAATATTTTTTTATCTTTTAGAGGTAGGAGGGAGATATTATAAGGGGAGAGGAGTGCTGCAAAACTGTTTGAATTTAGAATATGAACTCTTCGACTTTGGTAATACTATTATATTAGGAGCAGTGAAATTCTGTAAAATTACATTTGCTTTTTAGAACAAGTTTTTTAGAACATTTGTGGTTTTTCATATGATAGGCAAATAATTTAAATATATTTTCTAATCAGCTTTGGACCCATAATGTGTTGTAGGTATATATTATTATGTACATTTTACACAGACACGTACATTATATATACTATACATGTATACAAATATATAAAATGAAGTGTCTGTTGATGTATCATTATAAAAGCTTTTCTAATTCCACCTGACTACAGTATTTACTCCTATACCAAAGATATATTTATATATATTTTGAGCATTTTACTGTCCTTTTTGCTCAGGCTAATCTTCAAAATGGGTACACCGATTTTCACGGGACTTTCACTGGCAGAAAGCTTAAATTATAAGGAGTAACTGAGGCTAACTCAATAATAAACTTAGTAAAGGTTATTTGAGTGATTGTATTTCAAAGACTACCGATAAGATTGAAAACGATGACCTAAATCTGAAGATTTTGGATCGAATTGGAAATTGATTTGAAGTGGACAAATTCAAACATTATAAATATAAACTATGAGTATAAGTGTGACAACTAGATATTTATATACTGACAGAAATAGACTCGTGTAATTCTGTTTCAGATAATAAATGTTCGCGGCTGGTACTCATGATAATATGTTTTATGGAAGAACTTTCTTCTAATAAACTTGTAAACATGTACCTACACTTTAAATATTAGATCTTCATTACCAATGACAAATAAAATTATAGTAAGTTTTGCCTGTGGCTTCTCTTAGGTTTTTTTTAAATCCTTTAATATAGGATAAATTTTCTTTTTTTTGTTAAATGTACCTAATGCGCGCACGACTTTACGTAATCTCACAAGTAAATAAATATCTTTATTTTAATCTAATAAAGGTTTAAAATATTTTCAAAACGAGAAAAGCTTAAATATTTTAAAATCCTGTTAAAATGTATTTTTTAATATTTGAAACTAAATTATCTTCGTGTCACACGTCATTTTTATTTAATATCTTTATACAATGAAGTGTGTTGAACACTTACACGCACTAAATGGATATTTAGTGTACCCTACACTAATGTTAAGGTAGATAGATTATATTCACTAACCTGTATGCAACCTTGTATGCTGCTGCACATGGCTTAATTGCTTAAACCTCCGATCACAGTACGAGCATTTGTAGGGCTTCTCCCCAGTGTGTACTCTGATGTGCTGGACGAGCTGATGGTTGGAGCTGAAGGACTTCAGGCACTGCTGGCACTGGTGTGGTTTTACCTCCCCCCCGAGACCTCGTTGGAGTTCTCGAGCGTGCATCTGCATGGCGTTCTTGTGCATGAATATCTGTAACAAGCCACCAGGGTTTTAGAACATGAGCTGTCTTGTTGTACATATGAGTATCAAGGTTCCCTAAAACCAAAGGTAAATTTACCTACTCAAGTAAAGTTGCCCTATGCAAAAACTTATGCGAAATAGAAGAGATTACAAACTCGGTTTTAAATTTGTCTTTGCTACATAGCATAAATAAACTGTCACTCCAATTTTGATTACGTGTGAAAATAGTTTATCAAACTTAAAAAATATATTTGCCATATTCCGTATTTAATTTGAATAAAGAACAAGTAACGCAGTTAACAGTAGCGCTGTTAGACCAATCAGATGACCATAAATTACCAGTGTTGTGATGTCAAATAAGGTGAATTTAATATGCGCGTTATGCGTCATTATGTAACCAATTTAAATTTTAATAGACAGTTGGTATTTGAAGATTTATTTTATAATTAAATGTAGTAATATTCAAGAGAACAACAAGAGGTATTAACTCAGAGATTTGTTTTTAAATGGAAAAGTGGGAATCAAATCCTGATGTTAATAGGCAAAGACAAAACAGTTATGGGGGTGTCATGGGGTCACAACCATGACCCTGGGCTTGTCGTGAGTCCTGACTATACGAAAATAACCCCCCCCCCCCCTCCCGTTTTGAGTTCAAAATCGGCACCGCCCTTAATTGACAATATTTCATGTATTTCTTAAATCTTTAGGTATGTATATTTGACACTGGATTTTGATTTCTGATAGAATTCTCAACTTCTTTTTATAATAACATTTTTTGATGTTTAGGTATTAAATATTTTTCTTTGTATTCTATAAGGAAATTAAATAACGCCTAGGATATTTTGTTTACTTAACCGTCCAACATGATTAGTTAAATTTAGACTCCGGGAGTTCCCTGCTGTAGTCTTAAACAGGAAGACGATAAAAAATATTTTATTTGCCAATTAATATTTTATGTGATTAACTTCTGTAATCTGTGTATGAACCAACAATTATATAACTGTCCAACAAACTGTCAATAAATTATTATTATTATTATATTATTAAACTGGGTAACCAAATCCTAACTTGTCAGCACTGTGGGCGCTACTGCCACTCCCGTGTTAGTATATAGAGCCACTAGGAAAAATGCCGAAATATCGAAACCTTGCTTAAATCATCTCATCAAGATGTTTATAGGCCAATGACTGATAGCCATGTAGATGAAATATTTTATAACTGCTGATACTAAACTCTATCAGATCCCCGTACCCTATTTCGACGTTTACCGTCACTAAAACATATTTTGGTCACCAGCTTCTCAATTGATTTAAATATTAAAGTTTAAATTAAAACTTCTTTTAGAGAATGTGTGTCTTTAATCAGTTGTACTCAACTTGAAAAGCTTCATTGCGTTAAAAAAAAAGAAAAAAATAGAACCATACCGGTTCATGCTACGAGATTTTTATGCATTGGTAACCACTTACTACCTATTAATATCACATGACGCCGTATTACACTTCAAATAAATACATTTTTGATGTTTATTTAATTGAAATGTTCTTAATTTCAACAGTTTCGTGAAAGTTTATCACCTAAAAGGTCTTAGCCGATCGCTTTAAATTTTTACATGAAACTACATGTATTAACAGTATTTATATAGAAATATTTTTATGATTTATTTCGTAAACACGTTGTTACCGATACAAAATGACAAAGCTTGAGACATCTTTATCCAGAAACAGTTATTAGAAAGAGAGAAAAAATAACATCTACTAACTACAAATAAAATAATAGAGCCTGGGTTTATTTCGAAAACACACACGTCTGCGGAAATACTAAGTTATATACACACTAGGTACATAAAATACATTGTGTGTGGTATTAGGTTTCATGCGAGGCGTTCTATAATTTTGCCGCACCAAAGAAATTGCCTTGCCTCGGCACCGATAAGGCGGAATTATAGAGACTTAATGTTATTTATCACTTTGCTTATATGATTGCGTGGTTAGTATTATATTTTTATTGGTATTACTTTAGGGGTGGTGGTTGAAAATAATACTTTTTTTTTCTAAAGAGTTTTAACTACTTTGCAAAATATATTTCGTGGTAAAAAAAAAGGATGTGGAAAATTAATTGGCATAGGCATGTAATTCATGAAGAAAAACGTAGGTCGTTGAAATAGTTAGTGTTTATATTAAACATAAGTAGACTTACTATCAAAAGCATTTAATACTCGTAGCTTTCAGCGCACAGAGATACACCAATGCTACAATAAATAATTGTAGCTGCATACAGAAAAGTATCATTTGTATAACATAATAGAGTCTATTTTATTTTTTTATTACAGACAATTCCCGCACTATGAATGAATCCTGTGTCGCGGGGCACTTTACACACATACATGAAACGGACACAAAGAACACCCAGATTCAGAACAACAATTTGTGGATCAAACAAAGTGTTGTCCCATGTGGGGGAATCGGACCCACAACACTCAGCGTAGTAGTAAGCGGCGTGGCGACCACTTAAACCACTACGCCATCCGTGCAGTCAGTTTATAATAATATTTTCCACATTTCACATGCGGCCGTCTGATCGCGAACTAAGCGGAGCCTATGGTAATCCAATGGCCAATCGAGCAGACGATTCACCTGATGGTAAGTAACTACAGGCGCCCAAGGACAACTGCAACTCTAGAGAGTCACAAGTGCATTGAGGCCCTTTGAGTACTTAACCCCTCCCCCCCTCTCCTTGGCTCCTTTAACCTCACTCAGTGAAAAGGTACGACAGAATTGCTTTACGCCGAAAGCATGAAAAAAATATATATTTTACAAATAAATTAAATTATTGAGAGGCCTATGTCCAGGAATGGACTCCGTTTGGCTGATGATGATGATCGTCTGGCTACTTTTTATCCCGGAAATACTGATTAATATAATCGATTATACCGCGAACGAGACTGAATAAATATAATGCAATATCCTTAAAATACACAAATGATGAAATCTAAAGGCAGGAGGTAGGAATTAAATCTATCTCTTTCTAACAACTGTGGTTTTTATTACGCTCTAAATTTAAATATGAAAAAGTTTTTAATTTAGTTCCTGGCTAAAAGACTAGACTTTTATTTTTATTTTAATAGGCTAAAATTTATGGCCAGACAGAACAAATAGTCACACATTTTGTTAAATATATTTAATTTAGTGATAAGCACCTAATAGTCACACATAACACCATGTCAGCCCCATCGTACTTGGTATTACACAATTACTTGTCCTGGGTTGGAATTGATCCTAGAACTCCCCGAAGTCTGTATCACTAACCACTAGACCAACCAACCCGTCATTTCACAATTTCACCTTATCACACTACAACGAAGTTTAAATCACGCCGCGCTATCAAAATACAAAGTTTTATCAATACGGGTTGTCAAGTTTGAATAGTTTAATCTCGACCTAATCTCACAGGTATATAGTTTATACGTTTGCTTGTGTATTTATTGAAAACCCTTCGCTTCTGCGATTGCAAAGAAACGACTTTGGACACGCAAAGGTACACTGGCGGCCATGAAACGGATACCCAGAACAATATTGTAATAAAATCTATGTTATGAGTCGTTGTTACGTAAATGACATTCATATTATTTTTATTTCTATTGAATTGTTAAAAAAAAAATCTTTTGAAAATTAAAAATAAGAGGCAAATCTATACACATTTGTTTCTGGCTTAAAAGATATGAAAAATATCTAAAAATAGTAAAAAAAAATCCTACCTCAAGTAACACATCACTTCGACAGTTCCACAGCATTTTGTTATCCGTCACAAAAATACTTTTAAATGGACCGTTAATAGCACATGCGTCAATCATACTGAAGTATTTATTTATTTATACTATATTTTGTTCTGCTCACAAGGCAGGAAAATTGTTACAAAATCAATTAAATCCCTAACGTTAGAAAAAACTATAAAATTATTTTATCTGTTTCCTTATTTATTTGCTGCTCCCGCTACTGTTCTGGATAGGGAAATATTCTGGTCAAATAAAATCTTGTACATTACGGTTATACTCGTACAGCTATTATTAAGAGTCTGATTAAAACACTAAAAATACCTGTACCTATAAAAAAACTAAACATTATTTTCCCAATAATAGTATCATTAATGAGGATAAATTAAAATGATATTGGAAAAAATTGTAACGTCGATGTCGCCCAAAAAGTGATGGCGTTGATGTCTACGTCGTAAAATATAATATTTACTACGTTAACTTGGACCAAGGAGAATTGAACTTTTGGATGAACTTCTATAGCCATCATTAAGTTTGTTTTGACCACTGTTCAGATAAAACCGAAAATAAGACTGTAGTTTGTAAGCAAACTTGAAAGAAAAGAAAAGAAAACCTTTGGCACCTGTAACCTTGACCACTAACAGCCAACCAACGAGACAGGAAAACAGACTTAGTTTTCACAGGGAAAATAGTTTAAAAAATAAAAACAGGCGCCTTATTGTGGCGCGGTTTTCTTGTCAAAAAATTAAAAGGTTAAAAATGACATCTTAAAACAAGATATATTTAAAGTATAGTTTCATTATAAGATTTAAAATAAGAGCTAATTTTCTTATTATTACTTAAACTTTATTCCTTACAGAACCTCATTCAAAAATTAACAACTGTATCATATTTTACAGATTATTAAGGAAATGAATCAGGGCTTCAGGTCATATAAGTAACTAGTACTGCTTCGTCTGCGTCTTTTAAAAGGAATAAATTTTCCCCGTTTTGCAACATTCTTCATTGGTACTTGTTCCTATTGGTCTGAGCGTGATGATATATATCCTATAGCCTTCCTCGATAAATGGGCTTTCTAACATTGAAAGATGTTTTCAAATCGGATCAGTAGTTCCTGAGATACAAACAAACTCTTCAGTTTTATAATATTAGTATAGATTTATTTATACGAATAAAATAGAGACGGTAACAGATTTATGTAATGTTAGTTTTTAATCTCTGTATTCTCAAAAGTTAACAGCAACATCAAAAAAATAATTAAAGAAAATGGGGGACGGTATTTGTGCACTACAGTGCAGCCCTTTCATGCGTGTTAGAAAGTGTGCTCCGAGGTATCACGCAACGAAGAAATTGCAAAGAATTTATGCTTTTGATGCGATATGACGCCGAGGTCTAAGGTTTTATTCCCAGCAGAACACTTGACTTATTACTGCAGTCGATGTAACAGATTTTGTTGTTGGTATTTGCATTGATTTTTATTATTATCTATTTTCTACAGTTATATAAAATGGTTATGTCGTTTTAGTTTGCTTATTCAAGTACAAAATAGCTCCAAAATGTCCTCATCACTTGAGCGTAATAAAAATTAGTTGTAACCTCTAACGGGCTAGAGCACGATAAACGACTATACTAATACAATATTCGAATGTAATTTTTTCTTTCTCCTTTTTTATATTATACTAGAAACTTATATCCCATCTAATTTATTGAATATCAAAAAATAAAATTAACATGTTCAGTCCGTAGTTTTTAAACTTAACGGTGATCAGAACGAAACTTATACTGTACATTTGTTTTTAATATTTAAAATAATGTTTTTGTTATTTTAAAAGATGAGGTAAGAAATAAAAAATACTGTAAATAGTAATAACTTTAAATGTTACTAACTAACTTTAAATTTAATACGGCTATACTTCTATATTGAATATTTTTAATGTATAACACACATACCTATATCCTATTAATTCAATAATTATACGATACAATTCAATAATTAGGTACTAAATTCAATTGGAACTCAGATATACTCAGTTTGTATCATAAGATCACATCATATAATTTATTTTAAAGATTATTATTATTAGAGGTATTAAAAATAATATCTATATCGCTTTATTCATTTCAGTATAGAGTTTGTGGCTATAACTTTGGTTAGTACTAAAAAATAATTAGGTTAATTATTATGTAATATGGTGCTTAATTATATAAGCAAACATCTTATTTAAACCATATTTAATGTAATATAAAGACCATTTTACATTTCAGTAAAAAAAACTCCTCAAAACCATGTAAAAAGGTTACAAAAACATCAACTCAAGTGTTCCCGCCACGTTTCCGCACAACCGGACAAGCCCTGAGGGTGTAATTAGCGACGTAAAAATTGAACGCTTTACTCATAAAAAAGTAATGAAATATGTACGCCTCATTAACAGTAATTGTTCTAACACTCGGTATTACGGCTCTATTAAGATAAATTACTACCCTTTCTCGATGAAAAGAGTATTTATCACAGAATTTAATAGTAGTAGTGCCAGTACTTGAGTATAACTGTCACTTTATATATCAATATAGTGGAATTCCCCTCGAAGATTGTATTGAATTCAAGTGTTCTCTGTGATACCACAGCAGAGTGTGTAGAATGTTTAAAAAATGTTTTGCTGTTCCCGCTTTATTGATGGATTGAATTAAAACATGCTCATTGATCCACTCCTTTTGTTCATAGCGTGATGCTAAATTGGCTATAAACTCCTTTACAAATGGAACTATCAAAGAAAAAAAAATCAATTCTTCTAATTCTAATAAAAATAACCTCTATCATAATATCATTACGAGTATAGATGGCTGAAAGTAAATCTTTAAAACAATTAAAAAACAGAAATCAAAACAAAATTATTGCCACGAAAATATCTATAAAAAAGCACATGACCAACTTTTTAAAAAAAGTAACGAGAACAAGTTTATTGTGCAACACAAAAATCGGTCAGCGATGCACTGGCACGCTTCTTTTTTTAAATTAAACAAAAACAAAAATGGCGACCTATAAAAAGATTCGAGTCAAGTTCAGTATGCGTCATCCGATTACGTTGATCGGACATTTTGTTTTTATTTATTCTCTCTCGTACGTGGTTCATTGATATAAGATTTGATATATTTTTAAATGACGTATCGATTGTACTGTATCTTTGCAACCATTGAAGATGACGTCATTTATAGTACTTAGTACTACTCGTCACTAGTAGTACCGAAGTTCATAATATTGCAGTTTAAATGATGATTGATGCAAAAAATAATTATGGATTGTATAAAGAGTATTTGTGTATGCGTTAAAACTGTAACCAGTCATACCTTGTTCCAGCCGAGGCAGGCAGGGTAGAGAACGGCATTTGCCTGCCACGATCCTGATTTACAGCTTTTAAAAACCGTAGTAGATTTAAATTATGGTACAATAATTTTATTATTCGTTTGATATTTTAGTTATTAAATTATAACAATTTTTCAATTTAATTTATCTGGCAAAGCATGTGCATGTACCTATTTATTCATATCTGAAACTTATATCGTCCTCCGCGGATTCTCCTGCACTTCCTAGGGTCGTAGTCTGCTGTTATATAGCCTTTAATAATTACTCTGTTCAATACAGAAAGAATAATTGAAATCTGCCTTATAGTGCCAGAGATTATCGCATTTAAACAAGTATAGCACACAAAAACTACAAAGTTATTATAATATGGAGTAGAGATCCTATAGTTCCTACACAATCTAAATTGCTTATGTAAATTTTAATCCCTTTAAAGTTCTTCCTATTTGCAGGAAAACTATTCTAGAATTGTGTACAATTTCTATTAAATGAAAAGTACCTACGAGAAATTATACCAACCTATAAATATATCTAGATAATACTAAAACCGAGGTTATCATCCTAGATGGATTTACGAAGATCAATGCTACGGCTTGGGTTCTACTAGACGATCACCTTCTGAGACAGATGCGTCTAAATCGGTAACAGTGCAGTATTCAAATGTACTAAGACGAAGCCAATACATCTATCTATATTTAGCACAATGACTTAATATAAATGCAATAAAATATAACCTTTTTTTTCTTTTTCTTTTTCTTTTTTTTTCTTAACCTAACCTAAACATAAACCTTTTAAAAAGTTTCATCGACTTGCGCCTATATACCTAGTGATGATTTGTAATAAACTATGCTGTTCATTCTTTAATTTGCCATCCTTAGGAGTGTTTTTTTACTTCAAATTTGAAAGGAGCTAAACACAGCCGTTCCAATAAAAAAAATATCAAATCGATTTATAAATTACAGAGTCGTCAGGTAACAAACATAAAAAAACGGTAGTTTTTATGTTTATTGCCTCATAACTCCGTCATTTAACAGAAGTCATCCATTAAGAACTTACTCTTTTTAATCTGTTAACGAATGCCATTTAAAAAAAAACATTACGATTCGTTTCACCGCTGCGACAAAATCTAATAACAACCCATTCCAATAACATTATCACGTGTTAAAACAATAGTTATAAATCAAAAACAATTAAAAATATCCCACAGCAGGTGTCAAAGTATAAATTAACAACTTATCACTTCCCGTGGACATTATAATTAGTTCCACCGTGGGGGGACAAGTCAATAATTAAAAAATTATAACCTAACATGGTGTTTTGCATGTTCTACAATGACAAATGTTAGTGACGGTAAAGAGGTACTTTTAAAATTGTATAATTAGAGTCCTTTGAAATTTTCACAAAGTTTTATGATTAAAGAGCTTGCTATCATACAGAAATTAGACAGAATATTATTTCTTAATATTATTATGACTCCTAAAACATCTAACAGTTCATTCATGGAGGTAAATAACTCTAGGATTATGGTCGGGGCAGACAACGGGCGAAGCAGGACAACGTCACGGCTTTCGCTGAATATAATGTACTATGTACTTATTTATTTGTTTGGTTTGCTGATAGTCATTTATTTTCATGCAACTAAAATATACATGTTCTTAGAGTA